GTTGGGGGTGTTGATGAGTCCACGATTTGGACTCATTTAGGACTTTATTTTAATAGATTTAGTGTCCTCGAATGCATATTTTGTCTCAATAACTGATGTAAATCCTTGAATTTTAGGTGTTTGGATTGAGGGACAAAACATGGACACTATTGGGCAAAAAGGAACAAGGCAGCTGAAAGAACGAAGAATAAACGGCCTGAGGATCGCCTAACCCATTAGGTAAGTCGCCGAACGTCTAGGGTCTCGCCTAATGTTCCAGAGTACCAAGCCCTGAAGGAGAAAATCTAGTCGGCGAGAGAAAGAAGCAGTCAGCAAGTCGCCAAACAGTTCTGCGATGAAGTGCCTTATCGCCCAAAGTTAGAGAACCTCAAGGATGCTAAAGGAAAAAGAAAAACGGCAATACAAATTAACAAAGGGTGGATCACCGAGTGGATTAGCGATCCCGACTTATTGCATCTACTTGTCCTTCGTAGAACACATTTGGACAACTACAAATACTTGTTTAAATTTTTAGCATAGTATCAATCTATTAATTTTGGAATTGAAATATTTATCTCTAAGTTAGTTTTTGAAGTTTAGAACTTGGAACTTTTTGGAGACATTTTTCTTTAGCTTTGAAGATTTCCATTTCTAAGAAATTGGAAGTGGGTGTTGAAGATTCTTCATCTTAGACCTTTGTAAAGATTATATCAATCGTACCCAGTTGATGGAAACACAACTTGGTTAACAATTTTACCTTTTTACTATGCCTAGCTAAAACCCCAATTCTTGGGGTGTGATTTTCTGATTATGGGTTGAATTAACTGCTAGGTATTTCTAATTGATAGTTTATTTGTTGTTTAAAAGTGATTTCGTTCAGTAATTGTGGTTGAATTTAATGGGTTGTAGTTGCAAATACAATATTAACTTTGTGTTTTTGGCTTGCGAGAGAGAGATGTTTTAAAACTAAAATGACTAAATCAAAGGTTTGTGGGTATTGGGTTATTATGGGTTTAGCTTGAGAGAGTGAACCCTAAACCCTTTTCCACACATTCAGCTCGAGAGAGTGAATGGACTAAAGCAAATGATGTGCTTCATTGCGGCTTATTGGGGTTTGAGAGAAACCAATTTGATTCGGGGTAAATTGTTCGAGAGAAAATTTACCCCCACTAAAGTCTAGCTTATTCACTGATTTTCAAATGTTTACTATTAATTGCAATTACCTGGTAGTTGACCTTGGCCCATAATCCTATCACATCCCAAGAATCCCGTCTCCATATTTGCTATTTTTGCATTTGCTGTTTTAATTGATAATTGATTACAAAACCCCCTTTGATATTTGATACTTGTGTCACCCCTAACTTGCATTATGTTCTTATTCGTAAATGTTTTTAGCTATGATTAACTTGAGCATATTTATGCTTTTCTATTGATTCTTGAGTACGAACCGTTGATGCATATCGTGACCAACGACACTAACCTATGGTACGAGTGTCTAGGATCGTCGATAATATAGTAACCCAACTAAAGGTTGGGGTCATGTCCCAAGGGAGTGGTTTTGAGAATTAATAGAAAAATAAAATTTAGTTCTAACTAGTTGTAGCTAAAGACATTAATGAGTAAAAACATAGTAAATTAAAGAGGGTCACACAAAAGTGTCAAATATCAATAGAGGGTTTTATCACAAGTAGTAAAAACAACAAAAAATAACAAGAAAATCAAGTATGGGGAAAAGTTCTTGGGGTGTGACCGCAATACAAGTTGAGATAAATCGTTGGGTAGATGTTTTCGATAGGAAATTTGCAAGATAATAGTGACTAGGCTAAGCTTTAGATGGAAATAAGTTCCCTCTCGGACAACTTACCCCGTTTCAAATGTGTTCCTCTCGGACACCCATTTGCCGCATGAAGGCCAGCCTATGCCTTACCCCAGTCACTCTCTCGAGCTGAGTGTTAGGATATGGGACTAGGGCTTACGCTCTTGGGCTGAACCTCATGTTGACCCACTCCTTAGGTCATCAGTCTAGTGGTCTTGGTTTCGCGACCTCCCTCTTAGGCAAGCCGAAAACAGATGGGTGGTTTTGTATTTGCAACTACAAATCCATTAAATTAAACCACAGCCACTAGGTGAAATCACCATTAAAATACATTTAACCTATCAGCAAGCAAGACCAAACAACACCTATTCGCTAAATCACAACCCAAGAATGGGGGTTTTTAGCCACAAATCAAGAAATAACAATATACACCTAAAATGATACTAAAATCAAATGGGTATAAGGAATTAAACCTTGATTTAAGTAAAGGAAGAAGAATGGATAAGACTCATTTCCAACTTGGGAAAGATGAAATCCTTCTTTCTTCAAGTCTCCAAAAAATCCTCTCCAAACTTGAGAAAAAATATTAAAAAAGCACTATTCTATTCTGGAAATTATAATAATGGTTCGACTCTCCTAAAATTAATAAAGAGTTTAGTATTTATAGACTTCAGAAATTAGTGCTGGCGGATCACTCGGCGAGGTTAGTCTAGGTCGCCGAATGACTTCGGCGACTCACCCTTCTTCTGTCTGATCGCCGTTTCATGCTTGCCTTCAGCATCTTCACGTTATGGACCATTGGGCGGTATAGTACTGCTTCGCGGAACTATTCGGCGAAGCGCCGACTGCTCCTTTCATCGCCTTTTTGATCTTTCTCCTTCAGGGCTTCGCGTACTGGAACAAAAGGCAGAGTGAGTCCCTTCGGCGAATCGCCAAGTGTGCTTGGCGATGCTCAGGCTTTAGCTTCTTCGTTCTTTTCAGCCTTTTTGTTACTTTTTGCGCCTAAGTTTCAATGCTTCCACTAAAACATCAAATACCTAACACTTAAGAGTTTTCATCAGATATTAAGACAAAATAAGCATTTGAGGACACTATTCTTATCAAAATAAAGCCCTAAATGAGTTCAATTTGTGGACTCATCAACACCCCCAACTTAAACTTTTGTTTGTCCTCAAGCAAACTTAAGTTCAGCCGTTAAAAAAGGGTAGCTCAAACAGTGCTACACAAGACTCAATCATGAATGCACACAACAAGACTCAATTTACTTATGCAAGGATCAATTGTGTACTCAATGATTCAAGTTGTGACACAACATTACCAAAGATTCTCTTGCTCGCAATACTTGCTACTTGTGCAAGTTCAAGCTCAACAAAAAGTATCTAAATGCCCTCACATAAAGAATGATTCCATATTCACACAGAGAGGTTAATCAATTCAAGATCAGGAATCAGATGCAACGCTCACACTAAAAAACGAGGAACACAATGCATGTTTTAACCCATAGGTTTGCCCTTATTTTCCAATCGACTTTCGATTCAGCTTACTCAAGATCAAAAAGGTCTTTCTAAAGCTTGTAATGTGTATGAGTGCAAAGGTATGGTCATTTAAGCTCAGTGAATTCTTCCTCGTGAGATGTGGTATTCTAAAGGCATTCCCTTCTTCTCCTTTATCAATTCTTTTTCTAGTGCTTCTAAGTCATCTTTTTATTCACCTCCGTGGATTGCTTGGAAACTCGATATCTTTTGTACTTTATTCCATAGTTTTTTTTCCATCGTTCTACAACACCATGGGTTAAGGGGGACTTTTCTTGCACTTCTTGACTTATCATTTTCCTTTTCACCACACCCCCAACTTGGCTATTTGCTAAACCACAAATCAAGAGGATTATAGGTAGTGGGTTAAGTAAGGTCTAGGGTTCATCAATGTTCTTCCAAAGAAAGGTAAGGCACAAATGGTGTTCAAAAGAGTTTCACATGCTCACGGGTAGACCACAAAAGAGGTATATTTTAAATTTGGCTCACACTCTTTAAAGTTGCCTAAGATCATCTCAAGAGCACACCTTTCTAAATCAATCAGACTAACATGGCAAATTCTAGGTTTATTCATGCATGGTTCAAAGCAAGCTAATCACACAAGGCATCAACACATAAATCAAACAAGACTACATACTTTCGCTAGTGTGCAATGGTCATTACAAGAGAATCAATTCGATAAATGGCTAATCACAACGAGATGCAAAGAGTTCACATATAGTTTATACAACTTCATTTGGCCTCATCGTAGTCGTACATTCATGTTCATTCAAATGAGAGCACTATTCAAGTCATCGATATTGATCGAAACTGAGACTCAATTTTTTGCAAAAGAACAACCACATTCAACTCACGAGGGGTGGCAAAAATGTGCGAAAAATTCAATTTTTTTTGGAAGGGGAAATCATTTTGCAATTAAAAATAAGCGGGGCCACAAGCTCAAAATCCACAGAAAGCAGTATTAACACAATTTAAAACAGAACAACCCAAATATAATCACAAAATACGGATATCAAATAGCACACAAAAGGTGGGCCTCACCCCACCACAAATAAAAAGCATTTGTCCTCAGATGCATATAAAATTAACCACGATTTTAAAGATAACGAAGGATAGAGAGGAAGGTCAAGAGGGTATCCTGGCTAATAGGTTGCTTCATCTGTCTGGGCATCAGTACCCGGTGTGTCTCCCTCCTGACTCTGTTGCTCTGCTTCAGCTGCTATAACGAGGTTAGTCTTACTCATATCATCTAAATCATGAGTTGCTCCAAAGGTATGTACCCCTTGCACATTAAGTCTACTCGATGCATTGGAGAACAATATATCACAGTTTAGGCAATCAAAGTGAGGCCTTTATGCTGCTCAGATGGCTTTAGAAATGCTTTAGCTAGCAAAGACTATCCAGTTTGTCGCCCATTCGGCGACATTAGTTCTAATCGCCGAACCTCTTGGCGATTCGCTGAGTGACCACTCGACTCGCCGAGTTTTACAGAATCTTCAGTCATTGTGAAGGTCCAAACGGTAGTTTTCATCGTGATTGCCGAATTTGTTGGCGATTCACAAATAATTTCCAAATCTCACCAAGTTTTACAGGCTTTAGTGTTGACGATGTCTTGAGTCAAATGGCGTATAAGTTCGGATTCACCGACCCCTTCGGTGACTCGCTGACATGATCTATTGTTTGCCATCCTTCAATTTTTCAAACACTTCGCATACTTTCACCTGGACAAGCAACATACCATTTTGTTACCAGGAAATAAGTACTGATAATAATAAAAATAAAGCAATTAAAGGGATTTTGGGTTGCCTCCCAAACAATGCCTTAGTTAACGTCGTGGCACGACACATTAGCGCCTTCAGGCGTCTTACAAATATACCACTTCAACCAACAAAATCTCTTCACAATCCCCCAGATACAATTTCAGACATTGACCGTTCACTGTAAATGGAGGTCCTTCCTGATCTTCAACTTCTATGGCACCATTGATGAACTATAATGTTACTCTAAACGGTACAGACCATTTGGATTTGAGCTTTCCGGGGAAGAGTCTAAGTCGCGAGTTGTATAGCAGAACCCAATATCCTACCTTGAGGTCTCGCTTGAGTATCCGAGCATCATACCATTTCTTCATCTTCTCTTTATAGATGGCTGAACTTTCATATGATCTGAGTCTAAATTCATCCAGTTCATTCAGCTGCTCTGCTCTCTCCCTTGAAGTTTTTGACCAGTCCAAATTTAAAGCTTTCAATTCCCACAATGCTTTGTGTTCTAACTCAACGGGCAAATGACAAGCCTTAACATAAACCAACTGATATGGAGACATCCTGATAGGCGTTTTGTAAGCAGTTCGATATGCCCATAGTGCATCATCGAGTTTCCTAGACGAATCAGTTTTATTGACATTTACTGTCTTTGCCAAGATGCTTTATATTTCCCGATTCGACACTTCGACTTTGCCACTTGTTTGGGGATGGTATGGGGTTGCCACTTTGTGTTTCACCCCATATTTACTTAGTGCCATTGAGAACCACTTATTGCAAAAGTGGGATCCCCCATCGCTAATGATTTCTCTCGGAGTGCCAAATCTTGCAAAGATGTAGCGTTTCAGAAATTGGACAACGCGTTTTCCTTCATTGTTTGGAAGTGCGATGGCTTCCACCCATTTGGAAACATAATCTATAGCCACTAAGTTATATTTATTTCCAAACGAGCTAACAAATGGGCCTATGAAATCGATCCCCCATACATCGAATAGCTCGACCTCTAGAATATGAGTGAGAGGTAATTCGTGTCTTCTAGACACTCCGCCTTGCTGCTGACATTTAGAGCATTTCTTAGTAAACTCATGTGCATCCTTGTAGAGTGACAGCCAATAATATCAACTCTGGAGAACTTTAGCGGCGGTGCGAATACCACCATGGTGACCTCCCACTGGAGATATATGGCAAGCATGGAGAATTTCTACCACTTCTTCTTCCGGAACACACCTTCTGATGACATGGTCAGCACACTCTCGGAACAAGTAATGTTCATCCCAAAAGTACTTTTTAACATCGAACAGGAATCTTTTCTGTTGGTAAAAGGTCAACTCATCCGGCATCAGCCCACACACAATGTAATTTGCAAAATCTGCATACCATGGCGTATGTTTGAAGGATATTGCAAACACCCGCTCATCAGGGAAAAAGTCGTCTATGTGAACCTCATGCTCAACATTCACCCTTGCTTCCAACCTTGATAAATGATCAGCCACTTGATTTTCACATCCTTTTCGACCTTTTACCTCAAAATCAAATTCTTGTAATAATAGTACCCACCTAATCAATCGTGGTTTTGCATCTTTCTTTGCCATCAAGTAACGGAGTGCAGCATGATCAGTGTTTACAATTACTTTGGTGCCTAGCAAGTATGCCCTGAATTTTTCAAATACATAGACTACGCAAGCAACTCTTGTTCGGTGACCGTATAATTTTGTTGGGCACTATTTATAGTCTTGCTTGCATAGTAGATTAGGTGAAATAGTTTGTTGCGATTTTGCCCCAACACAACCCCAAGTGCCATACTGCTGGCATCACACATTAACTCAAAAGATTCTGACCAATTGGGGCTGATGATAATCAGAGTGGATATTAGTTTTTCTTTCAAACACTGAAATGCAGCCACACAAGCATCATTAAAGTGGAATTTCACTTCCTTCTCTAAGATTTTGCATAATGGGAGTGCAATCTTTGAGAAGTCTTTAATGAACCTTCTGTAAAATTCTGCATGCCCCAAGAAGCTGCGAACACCCTTTACTGAAATCGGCGAGGGCAATTTCTCAATGACCTCAATTTTTGCCTTATCAACTTCCAGCCCCTTTTGTGACACCTTGTACCCAAGAACAATACCTTCTTTTACCATAAAGTGGCATTTCTCCCAATTCAGAACTAAATTCATTTCTACGCATCTTTGGAGTACCTGTCCTAAGTGAGTCAAGCATTCTTCGAACGTATCCCCTACGACTGAGAAGTCGTCCATGAACACCTCCATAGAGTCTTCGACCATATCTGTAAAAATAGACAGCATGCAATGCTGAAATGTTGCTAGGGCATTACATAGCCCGAATGACATCCTTTTGAATGCGAAAGTTCCATAAGGGCAAGTAAACGTGGTTTTCTCTTGATCTTCTGGCACAATAGAGATTTCATTGTAGCCGGAGTACCCATCCAAAAAACAATACCATTCTCTTTCTGATAACCAGTCAAGCATCTGATCCATAAAAGGCATTGGAAAATGGTCTTTCTCGGTCCATGAGTCAAGCTTTCGGTAGTCCATGCATACTCTCCACCCACTCACTGTTCTTGTTGGCACAAGTTCTCCTTTTGTATTTGGGACTACGATTATACCTCCCTTTTTCAGTACACATTGCACCGGACTTACCCACTTACTATCTGCAATAGGGTAGATCACTCCTGCATCTAGCCACTTAATGATCTACTTTTTTATCACCTCTTGCATTGGAGGGTTCAATCTCTGTTGGTCTTCCACACTAGGTTTGCATTCACTGTCGAGCCGAATCTTGTGAGTATAAATTCCATGAGGAATCCTACAATATTGGCTATTGTCCATCCAATAGCTTTTATATGCTTCTGCAGTATTTCAATGAACAATTTCACCTGCCATTCAATCACATTGGCAGCGATAATTACAGGTAAAGTATTATTGGCTCCTAAGAAGGCATATTTGAGATGAGAGGGTAGGGCTTTTAGTTCCAGATTTGGTGGTTCTTCTGTTGATGGC